ACTTGGCTTCATGCTTAATCGCTCACCGTAGGCGGGAGCTAATACTGTACTTTTCAATTGAGACCTTCATGAAAAAAATCTGGATTGTGGATTGAAAGCTAGTGTTTAAGCTGCAGCATGCCTCGTTGTTCGTTTTTCGGGGGACGTTCTCAGGTTTCAGAAAAGAAAACAGCTTGCTCATTCTTACACAGTCTTTCGGTCAACACATCGAGGTGTACGAGTAGCTAGAAGAAAACTTATTACAAAAGATTTGAAGCCAGCAATTCGCCAGTTTTTCTCTTTTCCACGGAGCTTTTAGGACACACTACCAAGCAGAGGCTGACATTGCAAAAACAGTGCGAAGTATGCTGTGTAAGAAGGGGAACTCTATAAATGTGGACCATATTAATGTTTTTGAAGATAAAGAGGCTATAGAAATACCGTTTCCTCCGTTAGGGTGTCGTACCATTAGTAGTACTCGGGGTAAAAAGGTATTGGGGGAAGTCACTAGATAGTGGTCTGCGTCTCTAATGCTAATGACCACAATAGAGGGGTTGATAAAAAATAAATATAAAACAAACAAATAAAAGTGGATTAATAAACATAATGAGTCCTCGCTCTCCCAAAGATTTGAAGGTTAGGATCGCCTAATTAGCCTTGAAGGTATAGAGAAGCAATCGTGAACCAAGGATTACATATGCCTAGGCCTTAAAGGCACGACCCGAAGTAGTGTGAACGACTCTTTTCGGACTGTGGGTGGACACTAGAGAACAGTCATAGATATATTATAGCATTTTCGTGCACGGAAATCAATCCGACAAGAACGCCAGGGTCTTGCAAATTTAGAAGGAGCAGCTGCAGTTTTCTGCGTTTATCAGGCTGTTGTCTGGTGCTCTCTCGTCTGTTGCGCACTCCCGCCTCGTACTCTCCTCTTTGCGCCTAGTCTCTCATTGCCTTCGTACACCTCGTTGTGAAGGTGAGTAAGCTCTTGAGCTAAGCATTCCCGACTAATTCTTTTCCTTTTATTTCACACTGCCGGCATTTTCGCACTAGCATATTCGCACTCATGTTCAAGAACCACACCGATTTGATCGTGGGGCATGCCATTGAAGGGGTGTGGAGGGAGAACTTCAGAGTGAAGGACCCCAAAATGTAGAACATTTCACCGATCCCTACCAAAAGTTCAAATGTGCACGTTATCGATATCAGCGCTAGACACATAGGGCACAATGGGTGGCTTCCACTCCCTCCTCCCCCTCCCCCACCTCTCGTCAACTCCCCTTCTTCTCAGTGCTTTCAACAATATTGGAGGACAGTACTTGTAGGGCAAACAATCATTCTTACTAGCTAAAGTATTTGAAGAAAAGGTTTTCCGTGCTCCACTTCTCCTCACTAAAATCTCAATTCGCTACATATCCTAATATGTTACGCATTTTACATTTTTGATTCTTCACTCTTTTGATTTCAAAATATTGAAGAACAAACAAAGAAGTTGGTAAAAAATAAAGAAATACTCAAGAAAAAGATAAAAGAACAAAGACATACAACAACAACGTAAATGCTGAGGTTTCGAGATGGATCGAGAAGAGGGAGGAATTGGAACTTTTTCAAGAATCAATTTTTTGAGCTAGATGCTGAGTCTTTCGCTCAGAGAAAACTATGCACAAAAACCAGTTACATGAATTCTAATAACCACTAGTGTATATGCATTCAAGCTATTCTAGCTATTCTTGAGAAAGAGGTGTCGTAGAATCGAAATAAAGTAGGGAGCGGTCAGTAAAGTGTATGTTATAGGGTCCGCTGACAATGAGATACCTTTGTTTTTGCACATGTTAGCTCAATATTTTTATATGCCTAGTCACTAGTATACTAGAAACCTTAAGGCAGGGTCCACCATGAAGAGTTAATGCATTACAAATTAAAACATAGGTGGTCAGTGACGGAGGGATGAAGAAAAACCAAGAAAATGGCCTTAACTCAGGAAGTGAGTCCTCTTATTTGCTCCCTAGTTCGCGCGTTAATCTTATTGGTGCTGACCTCATCAACACCAATGCTCTCTTTGTCATAGCGGCTATAGTCAGACAGCGAGGAGTCAGTTATCACTGGGCGCGCCAACGCGCGGGTATTTCCCTGCTGACCGCTACAGGCTTACGCTTTGCTGCGGATGCGTATCGTCCCACACCTTCAAGGGGGCTACCTGCCGTCCTACTAAATATTTCCCCTTCTTCCACCTAATACCTTATCGTGAGATCCTTCGTCAAATTGCATTACATTGGGGATTCGGAGTTTATAGAATGCGAAATCATTTCTATTCAGTGGTTGGTACAATTTCCTCTCCCTACACGCTTTACATTCAGCTTTCTTTCCTACTAACATTCTTCGTTCATCTTGTGGTTCCAGAAGGCTCTTCGTCAAGACAGTGAGCTCTTGCAGTCCACTCACCGTGAGCAGGGCAACTATCCTACCGTCATGAACCTAAGGCCTACGGCACAGAGTTTCCATCCACGTGAGGTTGTCCCATGCTTAATTAATTTCTTTACATTATTGCAAAAATTCCTAGAGCAATAACGAAGGCGTGAAGATTTGTTTTGAATTTAGCACCCATATAAGCCTACCTGAGCAATTAGCCCCCATCTACCCGCTGCCTTCCGTGGCTATTACATCAATTTTTAGAACCTATTTCTGAGCCTCTTTCGTCATAATACTGATTGGGATATTCCAGACGGCAAGTATCATAAAAGGTCACCAAAAGATAAGTGATAGCACGATCTTTCTTGATCTACTGTGCACTAGTGGTTTACTCTGCTCCTTAGTCGGCTTTTTCCTTCTGAAGATGATCTCCACACTCCGCCCACCTCGTAACTGGCAATCTCACTTCTCCATCTGACGCCACTGAAAATGGATTCGGGCGGATTGGCTGTTAATTGTCAGAGCGCTTCCGAATAGTTCAAGTGACGGTACCGAGACATCTCCATAGACTCGCAAAGATCTGGTAATGTGGGCTTGTATCGAATATGGTCTGACGGATCAGCTCCGAACAGACTTATCGTCATGGCTGAGTGCAGTGTTCTAACAAATTCACAAGCAGCTGTGGCCTGAAAACGAGTCGGGACCTCTGACAGCAAAATCTCAACCTTCTCTCAGTTCGCAAATTGTTGGTTGAATACGATGGGGTTATGCGCTGGCATCCACCACATACAACATGAGGGTCAGCGATTCAGATAAACTTCAACATCTTGATGACGACGAGTTCACTTAGATGCAGAGCAAAACAGAGTCTGCAATTCTTCTGAGGTCGTGCGATCACCCACCCCTTCTTAAAAAAATTATAAAAAATTAGAGAATCTGGGGGGGGGGCTGACAGTCCATGGTGTTTCAAAAGAAAGGCAGCGATTGACTCCCCATGGGTATGCAATATTTTGAAGATAATGGAGGTGTATAGCTGGATGAGCAAGCACTTAGATAAATAGCAAGAAAAAGAATCAGAATATGGCAGTAGTGATTTACTGTTTGTACACAGTACAGTCTAATAAATTTTATTAGTATGGTAAACAAGTCTTTCGACAAGTTTATTTTTGACTTTGTTTTTTTCATAATTCATAAAAATTATTGCGCAGTCACCTCTACTTTCTATCAGCCGTAGCTTCCTTCGGTATGTACCTGTAGCTTGGTACAATAACATTTTTGAATCATGAATAATAACAACTTTTTAGGGCGACAGTGGTGTAGTGGCAAGTGGCACGCTCACCACGCGCGCGGACCGGGGATCGAATCCTGGATCGTGCGTCGCCCGGACCAAACAAGCGTTCCAATCCTCCGGGGTCCAGATTTGCGTGGGAGGATAAAAAACACAGATTTGTACATCGCCTGACACCGCAAATTATTGTATAGGCCAAATGGATTCAAATGCTACTGCGATTGTTCAAATGGAAGTAGAATGCGTGCCGCATCCCAAAGCGGGATTGATCATCATTTACTGCTTCATCCTTTTGCTTCAAAGGCATGCCCCAGGATCACTTTGGTGTGGCTCTTGTACACGAATGCGAGTATTGATGGGAAGTGTGCCGGCATTAAAGAAAAAAGGAACAGAATCTATCAAAAACGCTTAGGTTAAGAGCTCACTCACCTTCCTAATCGGCTGTGCTAAGGAAATGAGGGACTAAGCGTGGAGAGGAGAGTATGCGGCGAGAGAGCGCTACAGATGAGGGTCGGCCAGACAGACAGTCTGATAAGAGAAAAAAGTTTGCAGCTATGGCAGCTTACTTTGCAAGGCCCAAGCGCTCTTATCGGTTGGTTTCCGTGCACGAGAACGCCACATTTGTGAGTGTCCTCTAGAGGTCTATATTTCAGGCTGAAAAGAAGCGCTTACACGAAGAAGAAGAAGAAACGCTTAATAACTTTCCAAAGGAGTCGCATGGTCGCAAAGTCTAACATCATCCTGATACTTGTTCTAATCGATGATACCGATCTGAGTCTATTCGCTCACAAGATGCTGCAGAGAATGCGGCATGGATATCATGAATTTCTTGACGGATCTGCTCTGTCAGGTACTATCGTTTGATAAGAGATGTATGGCGGCTGTTGCTCTTCTCGGGGGGTTAGACCTTTCCTCCTCCTGCTCAATGCCACCAGTCCAACTCTCAACGCCGCTTCTTTACAACTAGTTGTCGAGCCTCCCGTCGAGACTCCCACTTTCACAGCACATTCACCTTTCCTCACTATCATGATCCAGCCTGCTTCTAAGTGTTTGCTTGTAGAAAAATGTTTGCGATTGCTAGTGATCGATTACTTCTTAACAAGAAAAACTTACATCAAATATTTCAACTTCCTCAATAACAAATTTATCTTTGATTGAACTCGAGTTGAGCTTTGTAAAAAACACTGAACACATCCATGATGTGTGCCTTCGCGATCGGTACTCCTGTGTCCTTGAACGAGTATGCCGTCGGTGTTCACCTTTTCGTGACGTAATGTACCCAGTAATTTTTGCTTATAACTCACGTCAGTCATTGCCGTTTAAGATGATCTGGTGCCGGTTACTGGGATTGGCCACCCTGGTCACATATGTGGCATCAGCGGCACAAAAGACAGATGATCTGGAATGCATGTTCCTCGGCTATCCAGATCTCGAATACGATGGCTTCGATAGAACAGAGGTGAAATTCAGTGATTTCAGACCATGTATTTCAGCCCCACGTATTAATATTTCGATTGCATTATAGGTACTAACTGAGAAGAACTTTAACAAGACAGTCTTTGCCGAGGACGCAAAGTCTGTTGTTTTCTTCAACGACGTCGAAGAAGACGATCCAGAACTGGATCAGTACGAGTGCTTCATGCAGGTCAACCATTCTTTTATATATTAACGGCCGCATAAGTTTGTAATAGTTTCATTTCAGCTTTCTGCTCAGATCATGACAAAACGCGGGTACAACTTCTTCACTGTGAACACCACAAAGGAAGTGAAGCTCAGGAAACAAGAGGGTTAGTTTCACTTTCATTAACTCTTTGCTGTGAGTGTGTTGCAGTTCTCCTCCTCAGGTCAGGTCACCTAAATTTGAGACACCATTCGTCTGATCAAAATAATCTTACGGCTAAGCGTAGGCCCAAACAGGCTAAAGCATGAGCCGTGTAAGCATAAGTACAAGCTTAGGCCTAGACCTGAGCTTAACCTTAGGTTCCAATAATCACGCAGCTTTGGTGGCCTGACCCCAGGCGGAGAACTGCACGTATCCGCTCTGTTGTAAGAATAAGCCCACGATATCAGTAGCCCTGTGAGCCGTCCTTTCTGTTTTGAAGGGTCATGAAAGTTCGAATCGATTTCATAAAACCGAAAAACAACTCTGGAAATGAAACTGCAACTCTTGGCTCATTTCATGGAATAGTTAAGAACGGCTGTTCAGTGGTGTAACAAATCCCATATAAAAAGAGGCGACCTCTGCTGTCACGAAGCGTTTTGTGGTTGGTTTCGAGGCAGCCTATGGACACTGCCTCATATCTAAAAGCACTGAGCTCTTGTGACTAGCAAGTCTTAACCATACACGCCGGTAGCAATCCATATGGGCTGCCAACTATTACAAGAATAGCCTGCCAACCGTTTGTGGTGATTTTTTGCATGTCTCGGTATCAAAGTAATTATCTTCTCATACAGGTTACTGAAATTGCTTTGTGCTATTTTTGTTCATTTACTAAATAAAAACCACGGTGTGAAGTGGAGCACTCGTTTCCCGTCGTTGAATGTTGAAGTAGACAATGTTTCATGCATTGGAGAATTTAATAAAACGATAAAATTATCTGTATTTTGATTCATCCAAAAATGAAATTGATTTTCTCGATGTCTTTCTATCAGATTATTTTTCCATGTGTAACCGAACTTATAATTTGTGCTTGACTCTAGATCTGGGCCAGTTTCTCTGCTCAGTCCTTAGAAATATGCATATCCCCTTGGGGCTATCCTAACACGTTGAAGACAGCCCGTTGTGTATGATCCTCGAGTCTTTTTTTTATATTTCACCGAACCAGCGCTATTCTTTCAATAATTTCGTAACTAGTAATAAGTATAGTATTTTCTGGCTTCACTGATGTAGGCGAACGATTTCCTAACATAAAAAATACTAGGTGAATCGAGCAAAACCATACCCAAATCTGGCGCGCATGCGCGTCATGCTGTCGTCACGTAAAGTAATAGGTTAGTATAAATGGAAGCGGTGAAGCTTTCTTTGGTTATAATAAGGGTTGGGAGCTTGAAGATACCGGGTACCCTCCAGGAGGCCCGTCGCACGACAAAAAGGCGAGTCAGCGGACGAGTTGCGCGCGTACCGTACGGATTTCCGGTCGTCAAATAGAATGTTCTATTGTACGTCGCACATCACGCGCTGCGACTCGTCCGCGATTCTGCCTTCTTGCCGAGCGACGGGCCTTTTGGGGGGTACCCGAGGATACCAACATGATTCTCTCCCACTTATACCAGGCAAAAATTTCGTAACACGTAACCATCGAGTTCAACTGCGAAGAGAATTATTTTAGTGGTCTGAGTTCCGAGTGGTTTTATTGCTGCTTTTATTACTGGTAGGCGGAGTAGCATCTGCGTTTGCATTGCTTTGTTTCTCTTCCATGGAATACCTACATAGCTGTGTAATCCTGGCCTTCAAATCTTTAACGAGTAGGCCTAATAACAAGCATTAATAAACAACTTTTTAACAAACACAGACAAAGGAGACTGCTTCTTCAAGATACATGCTGGGTGCGTCATAAATTTGGTAACAAAGTGATTGCAATACAGAAAACTGTTCAAAATGAAAGGCCATGGAGATCTGAAGGTCGGCATCGCTGCGCTGAATGGGATTGCTTCTGACACGGACCACATTTCACAAATTTTTACGGTGAGCTTCAACGTGGCATGCATTAACGAAAAATCATAAGTGAAGAAAATAAAGTTCCATATGCCCACATGCCACGAACAGGATTCAGAGCGCTTCAGAGTTTTATTTAACAGCCCAAAATGTATACGGTAATTTTGTTCATTCGTTCATTCTCAAGTGTTCAGAGGTGGACAAAGGAGAGGACACCATTCATGTTTACAAGGACGGCTTTAAGATTGAATACCACGGTGTACGCGATCCGGAAACGTTCGTCGGATGGATGATGGATGTGAGTGTTCCTTTCGACCTTCACTTTTTCACATGAGACTGTGCGTGCCGTTGAATCAGATTCCTCAAAGTGTTTTGGCCCTTACAGTGGTGAAGATGTAAAAAAAAACTACCACACAAACCAATGATTATAATGAAAACGTAATAATTTGTCAAAAATAAGTATGATTTGGGAAATATGTTAACAGAATGAAGAGAAAGTGCTAGAGATGAAGGGAGTAGTGGTGTCTATCTTCAAAGGGCGGTGGTGTCAGTTGGAATGTTGTATTTTGTGCAGGAAAAGTAGGATTCAGGCAGCGTTCACAAATTTTACAAGGTGGTGATTTATGAGTTTTTTTTTCAGAAAATACCTTTCAGTTGGTCTCCTACAAATTCCATACTTCCCTGTCCCCGCTTCTGAAAATGGTGGTGTTTTGTAAGACCCCAGGTGGAGATGAGCGTCGTGAGCAGGGTCAACCGGGCGGTCGGCCTATTTTAAAAGGTATACCCCATCCCTTTTTAGGGAGGTCTTGATGCGACCCCATACAATCACGTGCAGACTAACACCATCTCTTACTGCCACTTCGTCTCACCAGCGTTGGTGTTTTTTCAGCTCCCGTCGTCCGAATGGTACGGTGGTCTCAGTCGTGAGGTCGCATCAATCCGAATACCGTAAATACCATAAATAAATAAATGAAAGCCCTCATAATCCATGAATCTTAATAAACATCTGTAAATGAATGTTTTTCTCTGTACCTCCCTTTGATGGTTTAGCCTCAGCTGCACATTTTTGAGGAAATACGGATGGGACACCATCGCAAGATACGGGGTATTGCGGTGACAAAGCATTTGTTGAAAACGCGTAAAACATCTTCTGTTTGTTGGAAACGGGACTATGTAATAGATGGAAGAGGCGGATTCCCGGTTACGTGGGCAGTTTTCATTTTCCCAAAGGTCTCCGCCATCTTTTCGGTTCAGTCCTAGAGGACGTCGCGTATGTTGCCATAGCGTCGGTAGTGATGTTAGCACATTCACGACGACGCCCCTTTTCCACTTTTCGGTCGCGTGGGACGGACGCGATTTTGTAGGCGCCGCCGCCTCACCACATAACCGCAGATTTTGTTTTGTGAATGAACAAAAACGTGAATGTCACGAAATAATTTCTGCAATGCCCAATGCGTAAAGATTATCTAAACATATAACAGTAGGATTTCGATCAGGACGACAAGTAGCGGTTACGAAAAGAGAGCATTTATTCACTTTCCCCGTGAGGGAATTTTCAAGCATTACCTGATTGTCTATTCCTAGCGCCTGGCAAGCGGTTATCAGTTGGCAGCCCATCTGGGCGGCCATCGGCGTGAATGTGTTAATTATTAGAAGTTTATGTGAAAAGTTCAACGATCCGCCGTAGACTTCAACAGCATATCCATAGACATTGTATTATCAGATCCCTGATGATCCAGTCACCATTATCAATGATGAGCATGATCTAGAGGAGTTTGAAGATCTTGACGATGAAGTTGTAAGAATCATTGGATACTTCGAGCCTGGATCGGCAGGTATGGAGAAATGTTTTTCTGAATATCTTTAACCGAACTGTCTAGGGGCGCGGTTAGAAAAAGCCCCAGCTTGTTGCTTCTAGCATCCCCATGTTGAAATTTCAGCTTTGAAAGAATTCGAGGAGGCCGCTGAAGACTTCATGGGTGAGATCGAGTTCTTCGCTGTTGTCACCTCTAAGGTAGCAGCTATGATATTCAGAACAGGTAAACAAATTTATTGTTGACGTAAATGAGAGCCGTGAGCTATTCAGTGGGCTCGTAAAGTCGGACTTAAACGGGTTGGCGAAGTGCAGATGCTCCGACCATTCGAGGAAGATCCACTTTTTGCTCCATCGTCAGCTGATACAGGTACCTAGGTATTCTGTGCTTACTTACCTTTTATAAGGCGTCTATTGCGTACATATGAATTGTATTTCATTGCTCATTCACTGCGCTCGGAAGATGTTCATATTTGTAAGTTAGTAATGTTGTGATGTGAATGTTGTCCTAGTTACTCATGCCTTTAGTCGAGTTCTACAATATTTTTTTGTTTCAGAAGAAGAGTTCGAAGATTGGGTAGAGAAGCACAAAGAGCCTGTGATGCAGAAGCTAACCCTTGAGAACTACTTCAATGTTTGGGTGCGAATTCAGCTTTTTAACACTTCAAGATATTGTTGTATAATACTATTATACTATAACTACTATATTGGGATCGGTATTGTTATCGATACAATATCGCGTTTTTAGAAAGATCCTGAAGAAGATGAGCGCCTGATTCTCGCGTTCGTTGATGAGGAGACCCGGGAGGGTCGTGCCATGAAGAAACTTCTTGACAAAATTGCCGACGAAAACGCTGAACACGCTGGAACCCTGGAGATCGTATTGATCGATCCTGGTGAGTCCTAGCACAGAATATGAATATTCGAAAATATGAAATACATTGGATGACTTATTGGCAGTAGACTGGTTGATAAGGATACGAACGTCTTTGTGATGGTCGGTCACCCAGTGATAAAAGAGAGCAGAAAAGTAACCAAGAACCCTTGAAATCACATTGCACGCCATTTAAAATGCGGGGTTTGCACCCTGCCCGTACGGAAATCTTAGTGGTTGGTCTCATATCTTTTTGCTGTATCCTACCGTATCAGGGGAACGAATCATTGAGGCTCACACATGGGAGCGTCAGCCAGGCTGAAGACCGGTTGAGGATTTGTCGACGGCTCGTCGAGGGTTTTCGCTTGTTCAGTCGCGCTCTCCCGCGCGAACATTCACTCTCAAAACGCGCGAGCCATCTGTGCCCTCCTCGCGTACATTAACTCTCGGCACTATTCTCACACGGTACAGGGCCATGGTGGAGGATTCTTCGAGCGTTAGTCACCCTGGCATCAATCCCGTCCATATAGTCTGCGTGCAATATGACTTGAAGGATTCTAATTTTTTCAGTTTTCTGTTTGCTTTTTGTTATTACTGCTGGACCATCTACCACAACTAGATTCCTTTCTTGAGCGAAATTACAACCGTTCTACGCTGCTCATTACTGGAGCGCACTAGCTTGAAAATTACATTTTCAGATGAGTTCCCACTGATGGTCGACGTCTGGGAGGATATGTTCGGTATTGACATCGAAGAAGGACCGCAGATTGGCCTTGTTGACATTTCTGAGGTTGGTTTGAGGAAAAAACGGTACTCCACTCCCTTCTTGAATATCGTTGACAGATGTTTTAACTAAAGGATAAAGGATGAAGCATTTGTCTTTGAGCAATCCCTTCTTGGGATACGGCACGCATCCTACATCTATTCGTAAACTCGTAGTGGCGTTTGAATGCGATGTGGCCTACACAAGACTTGTGGGAACTAGCCGATGTTCAATTCAGTGTTGTTTTTATCCTCCCAGACAAGTCTGGTACCGACCCCGGAGGGATGGAAGGCTTGGTTGGCCTGGGCGACTCACGACACAGGATTTGATCCCCGGGCCGCTCGCGTGGTAAGCGTGCCACTTGCCACTACACCGCTGCCGCCTTGCTTCAATTTAGGTGGAATGTTTTAGGTACACCTACTTTACGTAGAGAAAATATGCCTTTTATAATGTAAGAAATAAGAGCACTGTTGGCAAAAAGAACAGGAAATCATTCATTCCGAGAACATTTCCGTTGTTAAGCTCAGCACGAGCGTTTACCACCACTTCTGTCTCAACTGTTTTTCTTAAATCCTTGGTTTATTGATCATTGTGTGGTTAGCAAATGCCGTTAGTTTCCACCATTTTATAGAAAGAAGGAATATGGTTCGACATTTCTCAAGTGAATCTCGACGACCCGAAGAAACACAGCGACAGCAACTTCGAAGTGCTGCAAACATGGATTGATCAAATTATGAGCGGATCGATCACTTTGGATGGTAAATTGCCCTGCTTAATTTGATTTATCATTGGTAAATATTATTGTTACAATTACAATGGGATTCAACGGTACACATATTCTTCAAAAAAGGACATAATAAATTTCCTAAATTTTTCCGAAGTACCCAATTTCGTTACGTATTTTTAGCCTGCTGAGAATTTTGTGGTTGCAAAAATTATTTTGAACAAATGATGTTGGAACTGGCTAATGGCTAAGAAAGAGCACAGATTATATTTAGATGATGACGATGATGAACCGGAGCCGAGTCCACCTCCACCACCATCCAAGGGGAAGAAGAACAAGAAGGAGCTCTAAAGTCTACTCCGACACATGAACTAACTTCATTGGATTACTGTTAGAGCTTTAAACACTACTGTTTTTATTCCTTTGCCTACAGTCGCACTCCAATCCTCTTCGATAATTCTCCTTTTCAATTCAAGACGGATGTGTATCAGTAAACAGTGCCATTTTCTAGCGCAATTCAATCATAGATTATTTGGTACTAAGGTGTCATCTTCGGTGAGAACCACTAGAGGACTGTTAATCCTGTTTAGCTCCAATTTTCTCGTCACATCGGCCTTTTCATTCGCATTGTAGGCTTTCCTGTTCATCTATTCTCCCAAACCTTCTCTATTACTCCATTTTCATCTCCCTCACCGAACACGCCTTTTCGCTTTTGTATATTTTCTGTGTGTAAATGCTTCTTTCTTCATCTTTCTTTATAATTTGGATGTCGTTTCTCGTACGAGTGAGAGATTTGTGTTTCAATGTTGTCATTCATTTTTCGTTTGCTTAGTGATATAGTGCTGTGAGTGTCGCCTCCGTTAAGACGGCTTCCACCCACAACAAAAGCCTATTTGTTGCCCGTTAACTCGATTAGGAGCGATGTTCTATAGATGTTCCTTTATATAAAGTTTACGGTATATATCGATCGCTGTGATAGTACCAGGGTGTGGAGAAAGTGTCCTCTCACCCGAGAAAAATTTTATGCTAATTTTGCCTGATAATAGTTCCTGCTTGCTCTCTTCTTCTTCTTCTTCTCCCCATACGTTAGTCGCCGCGCGGTGCGCAGGTCCGTGCTTTATCAGCTCGTCGCCAACCTTTGCTCTGTCTAAGAGCATCTCCTGCTGTGGCGAACGATTTTCACTTAGCTCCTTGGCTTGATTTACGTCCTTCCACCCTTCATTGGGGCACCTCGTGGTCGCTGTCCTGCGCTTCGAAGTCCATTGCCTTCCTATTAGAGTGGTCCTGTGGCGCCTAGCACCGTGCCCATACCATGCGCAGACACTGTTCCGTGCATTTCAGCTGGGACAGGGGCAATCCGCATGACCACTCTGACCTCCTCCGTGTTCTGACTGGCCTTTGTTGTTCTGCGACACTTCGGTTACTTCTTAGATCCGTAAAAATATTCCTAGCATCGGGAAGTCCCTCCGTTTCTGAGGAATCTAGAACTAATGTTACTTTGTGTTGCTTTGGATAGTCTAGTAATAAAATTGCGAAATTTCAGTCGAATTAGATGATCCTCGCCAATATAACGCATTAGCAGTGAGAAGCTTCACACACTATCGATTTCCTTCAGTGGGGACCTACTGATTTCTGACGTCCCTGAAAAAATCCATGCCTCCCACTGATTCGAGCTTTTTTGCAAACCAACCTTGCAAACCATCGACCACATCGCCTCACTCCAGTGCAGCGTGACCTACACTTCATCTTGGCTGTCTACATCTGCTGAACCGAGTTTCTCTTAGGCGTACTGCAATTCCCCATAAACTCATCAAGACATCTTCTTGAGCACTGTATCTATAAGCCGGAATTATTTCAAGGGGCCAAAATTTAGTGCTCGAGATCAACAGATTTTCCTTTTCCAAAGACACGTGATAGGGCCTGATCTAAACCATGCAATCAACTTCAGACATTTTTCCCCCTTGTTATACCTTTCTTTGTTTGTTAACCTGCTGCTTCTAACGCGCCAGGCGATATTTTCTGCGTGAATATGTTCACAAAAGCTGAGCATGTGGGTGTGTCTACTCTATGCTGATACTAAAACTTGCGCCCCAGGCGGCCCTAAGAACCGCTGCACCTCTCGCTTCCGCGTGCAAGGTCAGGCGCCTACTCTTGTTATACGAACGTACCAAAGAGGTAACGCGGGGCAGCATTTCATTCCAACTCAGCTTTTCATGGTATCGTACCCATAGCTTTCACGCACTCACACGTCTAACGTGTGAAACAGCGAGAGGTGACGGTTCTAGCTCCCGCCGAGCGAAAGTTTTGTTCAGCAACCCTAGCATTCTTGCTGAAACATTCGCAACGCGACGCGCGGCGGTAAAACAGCATTAACAAACAAAAACAAGTCTAATTCATTGCTAAACTTTCAGCCGGCTAACCGGCTTAACAGTTAAGACGTGTGGAGTGGCTGACAAGCTATGGTAACGTATACCATGAAAAGCTGAGTTGAACTAATGGGTCGCCCCGGTCACGTAACTGGTACGTCGCAACTTGTAAGCTGCTGTCCCGGAAGAGCGAGAGGTAGCGGTTCTAGTCCGCTTTGCTGGGCGAGAAAGTCATGTTTCAACTAACCCCACAGCATCTGTGTGAAATAAATTCATGAGCGATTTTAATATGCAAAGTTTGTACAAGACGGTAAGCGTGCATAGTGCACACAACTGTCAAAGTGATTCCCTGCTTCCTGCCTCATCTTTTCACGGCAATCACTGTTTTCAAGTTTGCTTACGTTTAGCTTTCAAGATCTCCTACTCACATACATCTGGACAAGGCGGTGCTAACTTAGTTGGGGGGGGGCGCCCCGCTCCCATCCCCTGGCCAGCGTCTCGCAGATGCACTTGACCTCGCCTCAGCGCAATCGTCAGGAAATCCGTGGCTCAGCGGGCGGCGAGTGCAGCTCAGTCTAGAGGGGTGGAAGGACGGGTGAAAGGAGCAGTACCCACTACTTTTGCATGCGTGATATGCGGCGACAATGCGAAGATTCTGGATCGAACTATTACACTGTCTCGAGTAGTAATTCGACAGAGAGAGCCCGCAGGTCCATCGAATACCAATTGCCGTCCGCCTGATACTCGTCCGTGAGTGCTCCCCAAAAAGTGCTGACACCCTCCCAACGTTATTAGTTTAGTTCCACCCTGACACAGTCACTCAGAGAATGCTCACAGGCAGCAACTCCAAAAATCTCGAATTCGATAAATTTTGTCTATGGCAGTTTGTCATTGGCGAAGAAGTTTCTATGTCACTTGTTTTGTTCACTGGCCTTTACGACTACTTTCAAGATACGGACATGATAATTCTATCAACCACATAGTGAGAATTCGCATACTCGCCCTACAATTTGACCGACAATTTGTTGTGATACGCGGCGCCAGTCCGAAGCTGTCGTCGTGCAGAAATAGAGGAATTTAGAGTGTAAAGATAACTAATTACCAACGAAGAAAATATAGTTAAGGCTAGACCTTAGATAGGCTTTCACGAAGAATGATCATTTATATACTATCCGTTTTGTGTTGTTGTGGCATTGGAGGCTTACAACAAAAAGTATACATAGCTCACAATGTTTCGCAACACTCTCTTCAAACGGCGGTTGCGTATGTTAGTTGTAGAGCTCTCTCGTCAACGCCTTTCTGAGTGCGGGATGCGAACTGCAAGCAAACAACATGTGGTACCCACTTACTACAGTCAAGTGGCCGCTAACCACAGGATTTGGAGTTGATACTCAATTGAGTCACTGAAGGTGCCCGCTTGATGGCAGAATGTGGTCACTACTATAGAAAACTCATAATGTTTATCTATGTAATAATACACGGTTTAAATAAATACGCCCCACCAAGACTCACAAGGCGACCCGGCCGTGGCTGGTACAGATGCCTCTGCCTGACACGCACCAACAACACTCATCTTTGATCGAGCCGACCCAGAGGCTCGCACTGTGACCATTGCTCGCCACACGGTCTAGTAGGTGGATCATTGAGGTGATCACGAAGCGATATTGGGTGAGATGTACGACCGCTCTTACGCAATACCGAACGTCAATTTGTAGTTATGCTGGCACACACTCGCTGAAATATTCCTGAGGTAAGGTCGCCATTAGTATGCAAGTCGTCTTGGTATCACGCGAAACGCAATGCTTCAGCGAACGACATCGCAGAACAAAAACTTAGGCATTTTGTATAGGACCGCATGTACGCCGAGTCAAGCACACTTTACGTGGTCATATCCCACAAACACTTGCTTGATTCCAGCGGTCTCCAATGACCTTAGCGAGTTTCGCGAATGCCGTGTGTCTGAGAGTAGTTACAACACCGTAGCAACGAGTTTCAAACTAGAATCACGGAAGAATTATAAAGAAAGAGCAACGACACCTAGAGTCTGAATGCATTTTACTCGAGATCTCATGTAGACTTGTAGAGCAGAAAGCGCATCTCAGCGTCGGACCCAGCGGTGCGCTTCTTACTAGTAATGTGACGGTACTGCAAATCTACCGTCACACGTCTGTAGTCGGCTATTGGCACATTGGCTTTATTTCAACACACGAATGACAAATGTGGTGTGCTGCCATCGTTTCAAACCAAGTTGCCAACTTAACTATTCCCGCATAACAAGGCCATTTCCAAGCGTGATTGGCGTGGCACACACGAGGCCGCTACTCAACAAAATTGGAACATGGGTTCCCTGCACGTATAGTCGTCCCTGGGACCAAAAGCGATATGTCCACCCCCAGGGTCCAACCCATTGGATATAAATTCTGGGGCGCGCGAAATCTTGATCATATAGTTCATTCCATATAGACGTCGTGCAAAGAGTGGTAGTTACTACATAAAACACATAGCTTGATTTAAAAAAGGTCGTAATCTAAGGGTCAAGGGTACGCTCGATTGTAACCCACGAGAGCTTATTGAATTGGAACAGGCTCACACTTTGCAACTATCCATCATTTACCGCCCTTCTAAACTTCAACCCTTAATAGGACCGTCAGCCTGCACATTATGTATTGTTTACGAGTATGCTTTAAGATTTCTCTACGCTTCTACCACGAATACATAGCTGACATATTTCAGAGAATTTTCTTCATTGGTCTTCATATTGTGTTAAAGGAATCCTTCGCGGAAAATGCTTGCATTCGTTCTTGACATGAATATGTCGGTTGTGATCAATGGAAAGAGCACACAAGGTTTCACGCATAAAAATTCGGTTTCCGAAGAGAAGTAAACGCACAAAAACTACACTTTATGGACAATCGAAGGTATTTCGGGCGGAGCCAAAGGCGAGGCATGGAAAGAATTTGGCCTTTGGCCAGCTACGTATCGGAC